CATCCTTACTGTTGCCTGATGGCAGCATGGATGTCGTCATCGAGAAGGGCACCTTGGATTCCCTTCAGGACGTCGCCTGGAAGGGGAGGTTTGGGATCCCCTCTGGTAAACATACAAAAAACGATGGAAAATCACCAGTTTTAATGGGAAAATCCACTATTAATGGCTGACATAGCTATTGAAAATGGCCATAGAAATAGTGAGTTTCCCCATGAAAAATGCTGATTTTCCATAGCTATGTAAACGTTTACCAGAGGGTAAAAGACCAGGAGAAATGTGGATTTGACCGCAAGAACTTGGGGTTTTCAGCTGCAGGAAAAGTGTGGATTCAACCTGTAAGTTGAGAGTTCATGAAGAAAGAGTGAACTTAGCCCTGGCACTGATCGGGCGTTTGCAGGAAACATCGTGATTGACAAAGATGTACATATATATATATATATATACATAGGGACTTGGTGTATTCAAGAAGCATAGGTGTTGTAAACGATGTAATCAAGATTTTTAGCAGTAGGGATTGGGTCCTTGCCACGTATTTTTCATTTGGGATTTAGCTCAGCTGAAAGGGCATTAAACCAAGCTAAACTGCTGCAGTGAGGGATTCAAACAACAGATGCAGAACTTAGCCAACAAAAGTTTGGACGATAAATTTTGGGCTTGAACTGGAATTCAGCAAACACAATTGTGTTTTTAACCCAACTCGAAGATTTGGATTTTACGTGGCAGAACTGGGGATGATAGCAAACTAAAGCGGGGGAAGTGCGGGGACTGATTCACAAAACATGTTGGTTTGAAGCAGACACGGTATTCAATGAATGCTAGCAACAGGCATGGAAAGAGGGTTGAAGGTTGGATTCCTGATCCCCAGACCCTTCAAACCGACATGTTTTACTACATGATGATATCAATAAATTGGTTCATGGAAGTCATTCCCATATTTCATGCAACAAATATAGTCTGTCATGCCTTGAAAATGCCTTGCCTGTAGATGTTCTCTAACCATCCTAATGATTTTAGGGGTTGATCCACTTATGACCTAGACGAGGCGTCCCGTGGCCTTGTAACAGTGCAACAGCATGGGTGTGTCTAAAGGTGGATATATCCAAGAACTGCTTACTAAATTGGATAATGGTTTCATATATTTGTCTTTTAATGTCCTGGATGAGGATCTTTACCACAAGCATATTTTTCGAATGGGGAGATGAAGCAATTAAAGATAATAGTGTGTAGGTGTCATGGCGGCAATATGCAAACCCAGAGTCTGGTTCTAAGTTTTACGGCTGTCATCCATAGTTTGTTGATGGACACCCGATATGTGCTGTTATATGCGGTTTTTAGATCTATATGCTTGTGGCTCCATCATCTCCATCCCACATAATTATTTTGCTAGGAATCATGAAAAACATGTTCAAGGTTTGAGATATGAAGCATTTCTCCTGATTCTTTACCCTTTTCTGGTGCTTGAAATGACCTTGTTGCCATCAATGTCGTCACCTTGACAGGACAACCTTCCACTCTTCAAGGCAAGGTGCAGAATCGCTGGATACTGCGGATGTTTATTTTTATTCTTTACGTACCATCCAGATGTTGACCCAATGTTAGGTAAACTATCATCATAAATCTGGGTTAACCCTGGATGGTTTGTTTAGCATTTGTTTTTGGCTATATATATATATAAAGGGGATATTTACAAGCTGCGCTTACAATATATTTGTTCATGGTATCCAAGATTGGCCATGACTTTACCAATCACATCCGATCACCCACCAGGCAGCTGTGCGAGAAATGCATCGGGTACTACGGACAGGAGAAGTGCTGATTTCCATCACCGAGACCTGGTTTAGCGGAGCTGGGGCCCGTCTGCTACTGGGAATCCCTACGTGTCCATGAAAAAGTGGGGACTACCAACAGTTTTCAGGTCAAATGTGGTAAAGGCTAGCAAAGGATGATAAAGGTACCATCGATTTGTTCACGCTCAATTGAGGGCCCGACCATGGAAACTGCCCAGTGTTGGGACACCCTAATTGACATGAACAGCTTGTCAACCCACCCACATCAATGTGGGGTGAAGATCCAGAAGCACAACACATCTGGCATTGCTCAAGCGACCTTCAAGTGCACAAGGTACTCTATCCCACGTAAGCCATACAACTCGACACAAAATTATTAGTCTAACAACCACCAACCTGCTGATAGAGCATATATATATTGTATATGTAGATCAACGATGCTCAATGTTCTGTGTCCTTCACTTATGTTCCTTGCTTTCGCTAATTATTCTTTTCGCCTTGAATCCTTTTACCTGCTGATAACAGTTATCCATTTGTTTACCTGTTTTTTGTTCTTATAAGATTTCTTATACTAGGCCGTCACACCCACTCTTTGTTATCAGATTATCACCCCAATTTGTGATTTTGTTGCAGCTCCTATTGTTTGCCTTACATGGTAACCCGGAATCCCTATCTCGAGCACCTCCTAAAGCCTAGACGCCTCGCCACTTGCCATATCTCCACTGTCTAGATCATATGTTGGAAGCATTCCAGGTCGCTGTTGCTAACTTTACGCATGTACATACACACAATGTACATAATTGTACATACATGCGTAAAGTACATTGAAATCAATTGCATTTCATTAGACTGCACTGCATTCTGATACATTATATTATGTTACATTGAATTCCATTTCATTACATTCCATTGCATGACCTTACATTGCATGAAACTCACTACACTGCACTGCATTGTATTGCATTGCATTTCATTACATGCATACATACGTATGTGTTTTGTTTCAAAGTGTTCTATAAGTTTCCTTAATTTTCCATGTTGTAAAATTGATTATTCATTAAAACAAAACATAACTTTCTAATAGTTTCTGAATCCACTGGTGCCCATTGTTTTTTTGGTCACACTCCGTGATCAGTGAACTCTCCTGCTGTTTCGGATGATGAAGGTTCCATGCGTTTGTGACCCTGCTTACCTTTGGGCAAACACGGCAATGGTAAATGGAAAGTCCCGCATTTGTAAATCTATTTGGCTACGGATCAATACCTATACATACCATTTTTAGTGGGATGAACATCCATTTACCAGCAATTTTGATGTTCACCAGGGGTACAAGGTTTTGACACACTGCCATTTCATGTGTTAGATATGCTGAGTAATTACACAGTTATGATGTTTTCTTATCCGAGGGTATCCTCACAGATACAGCTCGAAAGAGTTTGGTGTTGGTGGGATATGAAAGATTCCCCAATCAACGGGAGCATCGACAGCCCGTTGGGTGGTATCATTTTTGTTGGCCATTTCCGCATCATATTCAGTGTATATCTTCATATGTGTTTTTTTGGTGGGGATAGATACCGTGCTGGTAGACATTGAGGAAACTGATGATTTTAACTCCAATACTGCAATGTTCCAAGGGAAAATGAGGTTTCACAACCATTTCTATGGGTTTACCACCATGTTTATCATCCTTGTGGCCATTCAGGAATGGAAAACACATGATGATGACCGATGCATTTGAGTGATCATCTGAGTGTGGAAAGTGATGTTTTTTTCCAGAAGTCCTCAGTGATACAGATCAGCCACACCAGAGATGTTGATATTTGTTTGCCATTGTTTTTCCATGGTTTTGCCATGGTTTTTCCATGTTTTTGCATGGTTTTTCCATGTTTTTCCATGGTTTTTCCACTGGTTTTTGTTGGAAACACTGCGACCAAATCTCCCCATGTTTTCAGGATGCAGATCGTCTCTCCGAGCTTCAAAGTCTGGCGTGCCTGGGCGGCTGGTAACTCCAAGAATTCGTGGGTTTATGGTATACCCTCTGGTAAACTAACAAAAAGCTATGGAAAGATCCACCATTTTTAATGGGAAAATCCACTATAAATGGCCATTTTCAATAGCTATGTTAGTGTACCAGAGGGTAACATGGTTTATATGTGTTTATATAATTATTCATATATATATATATGTAGTGACTGTAGTGTGTGTGTGGTAAATTTTTGATCTAGGATATAACTATAGACTATGTATCACTGTATCACTATAATTTGTGGTTAACGATGGTATAAACATGTTTTTGGCTATAGTAATTAGTTTGTAGACTTTATATGACTTTATATTTGTGGTACAACTATAGTTAATGGAATAAATCAGAACTGGTGGGCACCACCCTGTAATGTCATTCTATATTGTTTTTAAAATGTACCCCATGAATGGGTCCAAGTCAAGACCAGGGGCTCGTTTGGGTGGTAGTTAATTTTTAGGGGATTGGATTGTACCAGTTTGTTTTTGTTGGATACCATCCAAAACTTTGAGATGGAACCACCAATTTGCTGGAAAAATCTTCGTGAATGGTATATATAAATCAATGGGGTAGACTCATCCTCAAGATATGTGGGTTTCAACCCGTCAAAACTGGGTAGAAGCAAGTCGCTGCCAGTTTCCCAACGAATTCGTCGGGAAATCCGTTTCGGATGTATGGTGATTCCTGACAACTGGGAGGGTAAGCAACTTTCGAGAAAACAATATATATATAATTTGTTTTAAACCATTTTCATGAATGTTAGTCGTTTTCTGCCAAAATGTTGTTCATTCTTTGCTGGGTATTCTCATCTATTGTCAATGGATCTTGAGGCCAAGGGTGATCAAAGGAGCTATGGGTGAATCAAAGGACAACTGGGACCACAGGTATCCGTGATTAAGCTTGTCCATGGTGATGGTTTTTAACCAAAGTAACCCCGTGGCAACTTAGTGTATTCAAGAAAATGCCACAATTGCAGATTATTGTCCAATTGAAACGTCAGAAGTTCTACTACTGCCATGATTCTGACAGCAGGATAGCCAAGATATCAGGATTAGGTGCACAAATCCAAGTTAGACCCGACAGAAGATTGGATCGAAACAACAAGTTAACATGTGGACTAAACATCAAGACAGGAGTTCACAAGCAAACATCGGGACATAAAAAGCAAGAAATGTGGGAACGCGACCAGGTAATGATGGTTTTGACCACAAAATTGTGAATGTATAGCCAGCAATTGGCTGAGATTGAGTGGGTATTGCAGCTAACAAAAGTAAATTTTGACAAGACTTAAAGGGGATTCGTCCCAGTGCTCGTTTACAGTCCACAGGTGGGGACTACCCTTGGTTCCTCAGGCCATTTCGCTGTCAAGGCTTTGCAGGACAGGTGGCCCATCAGAAACGTTTGCAGCTGCGGCTTGGAGAAGAGACCGGTGTGTCTCATGGGGGATACCGGGATACCCATGAACTGGCAATCTTGGAGAATTGATTCATTAATGAATTGAAGGGGAGTAATTATCCAGATTTTTTAAGCAAAGTGAGTCAAATACTCCCATGCCCTGAATAGGAAAAAAACAAGATGGATTACTTTCTCCTGGCAGTTGGCCAATGTTCAGTGAATCCAACCAGGACCTCAGAAGGAATAGATCCAATACGCACGATGTCTATTGGGACCCATTCCAAGTGATCTGACCTCCAAGTGATCTTCTTACCCTCTGGTTCAATGCTTGAACTTGTCACATAGCAAGCACCAAATACAAATGGTCAGTTTGAATCGCTTTGAACTGCCTGGTCTCTTGTATATATTGGTTACAGTAGTTGGCTAAACTCCTCAGTGAAGGCTGCAAGATGCTGCAAGACTGCCTGGTGACAAAGCTATTTGAATTGCTGCACAGGAGTTAATTTCTGTTTGCAATACAACTGTCACGGGCAAATCATGATCCATCATGATTGTTCATCTTTAACCATAGATTAACCACAGATTAACCATAGATCAACCATCATGAGGGGTGCATTTGATTCGTGCCACGACATATGGACCCCGTCAGGTATGTTTGTCACAAGTCCGTCTCCCTGTGGGACGAGTTGACGTCCTGGTTCAAGTTGGAGCTCTGATGATCGTTAAGGCCGCGGCCGCAAGGCTGGAAGTTGGGGGGATGTCAACTTGTACACTAGAGAGATGATGATCAGTAGTAATTAATAGTAATTATTCAAAATTTGGGTGTGTTTTGGGTGATGAATATTGAAGCATAACTCAGGAATTGAATCACCATGATGCTTTAATGAATTGGATTCGGATGAACCGCTTCCTCAGTTGCCTCATTCTGTACTCTGACTGTTGGTTAAGCCCTTCAAGCAGTCCAATCACCAATAGTTTTTTTGTTTCTAAATTGTTGTATAGCAAAATGAAATCGGAATTTGCCAGCTTCGACATTAATCACATTTTCCAAGGAAAAACATGTCTTGCCTTATAGCGAAAGGGTTGTCTTTGTTTTTTGGCCATTCTTTGGGCCAGGACCACCAGTCCATATTTACATTTTAACGTTTTTTAGTAGGGATTGAGGGATGGGTCCGAATTGAAGTGTTCGGCAGAAGATGCTCAGCGCGCTGACGAGGGCCAATTATAATCATGTCAAATCTCAATTGTTGTTTCCCAAAATCCAAATGCTATGTCTCAAATTCCAAAGTGTATTTCTTGGACCCCGACTCTAGCTAGTTGAGAATCATTCATATTTTGTTGTATAGTAATTTGGTTGGCTTTCTGACTGTTCTTGCTATTTCTTGCTTAAAATCTCAGAAATGTACTGGTTATGTATACTTGTTGGAGATTGTTGGAGTCTCCCATGTTCGATCCTTGCTTTGGAGACAGGTTTCGAATCGCTGGCTGTTGGCGGAGAGGCCGGAAGCAGGGGTTGTTGGCGTAGAAGCTGCTGTGTGGGCTGAAGAGGATGAGGAGGATGACTTTGGTTGTGGCTGGCTGGCTCTGGCTGGCTGGCTGGCTAGGTGGCTGCCTAGGTGGCTGGCTAGGTGGCGGCTGGCTTGTGGCTGGCTCTCCTGTCTGGTCTGGCTGTGGCTGTGGCTGGCTGAAGTGAAGACTAATGTACTTGACATGTATGCTGTGTTGGCTGATGAGGCTGATGAGGTTATTATCCTGGTATGTTTAAATTTGGAACTTGGAACATCTCTTTTTTAATTCTTTTTGATTGTTGTTGGGGGATATAGTTATGGATCGACAAATATTCTCAGAGAACCAAATCAGCAGGGCTTCCAGCGTAGCAGGGCTATGGGTGGTGAAACACACTTTTTCCACCCGAGCACTGATACAAAACAAGAAATAGCCGTTATGTGCGAAAGTACTTGTCCCGTGGTCATGGCAGATGCCCATTTATAATTAGGGCGGGAAAAACAAATCTTGCTTCCCTTAGGCTCACTTTTTTGCTTAGTTTCAACTCTTTTGGAATGTGTAGAATGAGAAGAGGCCTCGGACGGTGCAAGGTAAATGCTGGTGGACACAATGTTTGGGGGTCATTAGGCCATCGTCGTCCGCGGGTGTCTTCGAGTCGGCTATGAACCAGCTAGTTTTAGGCATTGTTCCCGACAGAAGTGGACACAGAAGACAGCGCGGCAAGCTCAGCAGTATATAAATGTATACTACGTTCATTGATCATGTGGTTGTCCGTGTGTGAGGCCCTGAAAAGGTTTTTAAGTTTGATCTTTCTAGGTGCTGGGAGAAAGGCTTTATTTCTTGCCATCAGCATGTGACGATTTCTTCTTTTGAAAGATTCTTCTTCTCCCGGTGAAAGGATTCCTCCTTCCCGGCGCCGGGTTGGGAGGATTCTCTTTTTCCCGGCGCCGGGTCTCGCTCCCAGCGCCGGGTCTCCCTCCCCTCCTCCCGGCGCCGGCTGAAGCCTTCCTCCTTTCGCAGTGTGGGGTGGAAGCTTTCTTCTCTTGCTGGCAGAAAGACCAGCAACCGCGGCGACATACAGTATGTTTGCTGCTGAGCTCAGGGCGTCAAAGTCTTCATTCCCTTCTAACGGCGCCAGGGTGACGAGGAGCGCGTTTCGATTCAACAATGACACCCGGATACTCGAAATTCAAGGCGCAGATCAGCTTTAGCGTGGAGAGATGTATTTCGGCCATGAGACGGAGGATAATTAAGGAACAGCAACGCTGCTGACTGTTGCTAGCTTTCCGCTTCCGCGCCTACACATCGCCCTATAGGTTTCTACGGGGCCTCCTGCTATGTCGGCAGCAGACGGACGCCTACCCTGCCATTTTGAAAATGTATGTATGTATATCTGGTAAGAGGCATGTACGCTTTTCAATATTCCTTCAAAGTCGCACCTGCACCAAGACAGGGATGAAATAAATTCCGGCCACTGCGCGCCAATTTTCAGTGCAAATTTTCATTTTTGAAAACGCACGAAATCACCTCGCACAGCCCCGATGGCTTGGCTCCACCCACTGCCCCGCTCAAAGGGCTAGCGGCGGCCTTCCTCCGAATGCCCCGTTCAAGCTCCTTACTCGTACAAGATTCAAATCTTCCTCCCAAAGCCCCGAACGAACCATTTCCACCCAAAGCCCCGATGAAACCATTCCACCCAAAGCCCCGATGAAAAATTACGCGCAAAAACGGTTAAAAAAACAGCAAAAAAAGGCGTTTTTCTCGTTTCTGGAAAGGGCCTAGATGCTTCCCAAGTCTCGGCTGAAGGGCCCGCGGCAAGGACTTGCTTGAAACCCCTTAGGACTGGATGGCGGCATGAAGCAATCTTGAATACTACTTCTACTACATCGGCACTAATGCAAGCCTAAAAGGCTTGAGGTCACGGGGTTTTCTTTCATTCCATCTGGTTCTGCTTCTTGCATCTACGCGTCTGCCAGGCATATATGGAAGCAATGCAGAAACAGACTCTGGTCCCTGTTCTGTTCCCGTTTGAGACATGCAAAGTTCAAGGTCCATCGTGTAAAGCTTTGGCACCCAAGCCGCTGCTCCTGTTTGCTCTTTGCTGTGGCCTCTGCCTTTCTAGGGCTGGCCTGTTTTAATTTCCCGCTTAGCAGGCTTAGCAAATGAAAATGGAATTGGTAGTGTTCTGCAAGCCGTGCTTGAAACAGCTACAGGACTGAGCATGAGGGTTGAATGAGAGGGCATTGCTGCAGCTTGCTGCTCCCAGTGGCTCGGGCGTGCCTTGACGGCAAGCTTCCCCAAGTTGAGGGCTTTCCCCATGAAGGCAAGGATTCGAACGCCCGTGGTGAGTTGCCATCTTGACGAAGGCAACTGCCGCTAATGCTCTAGGTGTTGCCTGCGTTAGCCTTCTCCGCGGCATGCCCAGCGCGGGGTCGACTGTGAAATATGGCAAAGGGCGTTTCGCATGCTACTGGCATGGTTGTCGTCGCAGGAATTGAAGGCAACATTGCGAAAGAAACAGGTGGCCACTGAGATCAGGTTGTACATACGGTTTCATACATGTTGATTTCCACAGGTACATGCTGTTGAAGTAGCCCCCCCAGGACAAGAAGTGCCCAAGCGAAGGGCTAAGGATTTGCTAGTGCTCACTTGCATGGGTCTGTCCTGTATTGGCCATTGCTTGTCATAAAACAAACTTACATTGCAATAGCAGAGGTTGTGGTTGAACCACCTACATGGGGTCTTGACATGTGTTCCGGTAGAAGATTCAGTGAACGTTTGCAAGGCTATTTAATCAGAAATATTTGTTCAATGTAGCTAGGTTGGAAACCCCCCCCAAGCCCCGCTCCACCCAGTGCCCTGCAAATTCTTTCCTCCAATATTCATCTTTGGTCGCAACACTGGTCCCAGAATCAATGATATATATAATTGAAGAAATGAAAAAACGTGGAAAATCTGAAGGAAAACTGTTTTCTTGGATTGGCAAACAATAATGAATTGCCATTGGTTTCAAGTTTTGGTCGAAGGGAAATTACAAATGGGTTTATAATATAAGCAAATGGCTTTCCGGCATTGCTTTCCGTGAGATCAATCCATTGATCATCAGTATGTCCAAGATCTCCATTTTGTATAATTTTTCCATGTGTGTTATTTAAATCCACCATTTTTGATGGTCAGGAGATTAGTTACATCCATTGATACTATTAGTTACATCATGTAATCATCAAACATGGTGGATGTAAATCACTCCATTGACTAGCAGTAAATCAGTTACATCCACCATTTTTGGTCAGGTCAGGAGCTGTACTTCATGGCGCGCTTGTTGCGTGGCACCATCCGTCAACAAGGCCTGGTACTGGATGATGAATCATTGGAAAAGATGGTGTCGCTGGGCTGCACTTTTTCGGCCATGCCATGGGTCAAGATTAGGATTCAATGCAATGGGGTATCATTCATGGATATGCATGTGGGACAATATATATATATATATATACATACATACATACATACATACATGTGTGTGTATGTATGTGTGTATACTGTATGTATGGGACATTGCGTATACAGTATACATGTTTATGCTTTGCAGGGGTTTATTTGATATGTAGATATGTACTTATATATACAAGGTTTTGCGAAAACATTGGGGTATGGGATTGCATGGAGATAACCAAAGATATTAAGTATGGATTGGATTGGATTGGATTGGTAAGTCCATACATGGGGGATACCCCACACCGAACAAGTTAATGGCTTTCAAATAATGGTGGAATAGTTTCACAGCAACCCATTTCCTGGACGCCTGCTGGCTGATGTTTGGTGAAAAGGTTGCATAATGCAACTTCAAATCCAAATATGGGGCAAGTGATGTTCAAAAATTACGGATGCAAGTGATAGAAGTCAAACATCCACTAGAAATTGGGATCTTAGCCGATACAAAGTGGGGATATAAACCTTGCAAAAATTGGGACAGACACAATACAATTCATGATGGTTCCCTGGTTTTTTCTAAGAGGGGTAGTTGTACAATATGTTTGACTGGGCATGATGGAGAAGAACATGAAACATCCATAGACTTAGAATCCCAGTTGGGGCACAGCCCAACAAGGAGTATCTCCACCGCCCGGTGCATGTCACCTTCTGACCGGCAGACGACCCGTTGTGACCGGTGGCCAAGGATGGCCAAAGAGTTTCAGAGCTCGGAGTCTGA